CATTCTCAATGGGTCTGCCCTAGATTGCCATTATCTCTCATTCGGATGATTACCAATCCATTCTTCATGTTGCAGACATAATGATTTTTATAAAATGCAAATCCAGACTGGCCACTCTCCAGCCCCCAAATCCCTCACTGGCTCTCCACTGCTCTGGGGATAATGATTAATAACACTAAGGGGCCTTCTAAGAACTTTTATGATCTGGCTTCTGTTATTTCTCCAGCCTCACTTTTGTACAGTATCTGCCTGGCATGTTATTCATCTTGAGCCAGATTTGGTTCCCTAAACACACTGTGATCTCTTCATTCCAGGCTTTTGAGTGAGCGCTTCCCTGTGTCCGGATATTCTTCTGTCTCCTCAGGGTAACTCCTACTTGTTCCTAAAGCAGTGGGCTGGACACCACTTAGTCCTTCTCTTCACACTGGGTGAATACTAAGTGACTGCAAGATAGTTTAGTGAAGAGATCAAGAGGCGGGGCTCTGCAAACTCATGGCCCAGTTTTGAATCCTGGCTGTCAGCTGCCAGCTTTGAAACGGCATGCAAGGCCTAACTCCTCTGTGCCTCTGTTTCCTCAGGCATAAATTAGGGAATAATAAGAGTCCCTATTATGCAAGGCTGTGATGGGGATTAAATGAATAAATCTACAGCAAGTGTTTAGAATAGCGCCTGACACTGTTCCAAGGACGCAGCCAGTATTCGCCATTACTTTTATGTCTCTCCATGGGACCCCATAGTTACCCCTATAATTAAGCCTTTATCGGATGAACAGAATTTCCGATTTACTTATGTGACTACTTCACTGCATTATAAGAGCCTTATTTGTCAAATGACTAAATGAATGAATGAATGAACTGGTCTTCATGCAATGATCGCTTCTCCTCTCGTGTTATGAGGATAAATTCTGTCCTCCCTACTTGATATACAGTAACCTTAATAAGGGCATGATCACAAAGATGGTCAACTCATCATATTCCTTCTCCCTCCAACCCAATACTGCTTAGCAATGTTGAATTAATAGCAGCTGAGTTAAATTCTCCTCCCTGGGAGACTTGAGCCTTTTTCCTGCTTTTTCACTTGCCATAACCTTTGGCCTACGTCTACATAACCCACCGTAACCTGAAATCCCAGGGAAAGACTTCCCTGTATCTGCTGCCCAATTGTAAGAGTAGGCTGGTTACCCGAGCAGGGGTTGAAGACGATAAAACACAAGTGAATGGTGAGGAGTTACATTTAGGTGGGGTGTCCTGTAATTTTTTTTTTTTTTTAATTTCTAGGAGAGAGAGAGAGAGAGAGACAGCGTGAGCAGGGAAGGGTCAGAGAGAGGGTGTCACAGACTGAAACAGGCTCCAGGCTCTGAGCTGGCAGTCAGCACAGAGCCCGACACGGGGCTCGAACCCACGAATCGCGAGATCATGACCTAAGCGAAAGTCGGACGCTTAACCGACTAAGCCAACCAGGCACCCCGGGGGGTGTCCTGTAATTATTGAAAATAATATTGAGCTGAGAGATTTTGTTCCTCACGATCTTGTAAAAGCTACTGAAATCCAAGTCCTTGTTATAACTTGCCTACACGCTGGGTGGGTAGGACAGCAGGCTGAAGCGAAAGGGGAATTAAGTAGGCTGTAGAGATACAAGCTTTAGTCCAGGCTGTTGACAAATATGTGTGACCCTGGAAGTCACTGCCTCTCTGGGACTTACTTAACCCACCAGTAAAGTGAAAGAGTATAAATGGCCTCCAGATTTGCCATAGATTCTGACATATCATGCATCATCCCTCCAGAATCAGCTCATTCTAGGAAGGAATTTCCTATGTTCCACTTGATCTCTGAAGAAACATAATAGAAATGGTGTAAAAGAAATCATGCCAGCCCTTTAGTTCCATGGCCAGTGATAACTGATAATAATCATAGAAATCACCTGGACAAACCAGGAATTTCCCACATCTTACAGGCCAGGCCTTAAGTGGGATGTGATGCCGGAGAACAGTCTTTTGAGTGGGACGGACCTGAATTCAAGTCCCAGCTTAGCCATGACACGAGTTACGGGGCCGTGGACCAGCGGGCCTGTTACTTCTTTACCCTGGGCTTCCTTGCCTGTAAAACACTGGGGCTCATGTCTATGTTGTAGAAGGAGGGTAAGGATTAAATGAGGCAGTTCACGTATCACACCTGGTGTTTCAGCCTTGAATAAATGTTAGCTCATTTTCACTGTTCCATTCAATCCTTCGCTTGTTAAAACTCACCTATGCCTCCCTCCTACACTGTTGGTGGGAATGTAAACTGGTACAGCCCCTCTGGAAAACAGTGTGGAGGTTCCTCAGGAAAATAACAATAGAACTCCCCTATGACCCAGCAATAGCACTGCTAGGAATTTACCCAAGGGACACAGGAGTGCTGATGCATAGGGGCACATGTACCCCAATGTTCATAGCGGCACTCTCCACAATAGCTAAAACATGGAAACAGCCTAAGTGTCCATCAACAGATGAATGGATCAAGAAGATGTGGTTTATCTATACCATGGAATACTACATGGCAATGAGAAAGAATGAAATCTGGTCATGTGTAGCAACATGGATGGACCTTGAGGGTGTTATGCTGAGTGAAATAAGTCAGGCAGAGAAGGACAAATATCACATGTTTGCACGTATAGGAGGATTAGGAGGAACTTAACTGAGGACCATGGGGGAGAAGAAGGGGGGAAATGGTGGGGGAAAGGGAGAGAGGCAAACCATGAGAGACTCTTGAATGCTGAGAAACAAACTGAGGACTGATGGATGTGGGGGGGAGGGGGGAGATGGGCATGCAGGAGGGCACTTGTGGGGATGAGCACTGGGTGTTATATGGAAACTAATTTGATAATAAACTATTTGTAAAAAAAATTCATATGCAATTAAAAAAAAAACTCACCTGTGCCTGTAAAACTATTCATTTGCTCTTTACCACAAGTTGGGATTTAGAGGAGGGATGTTGCTGTGGGTTAGACTAGCTCAGTAAGTTTTTGGTAGGGCAGTGTCTATTATCTAATGCAGTGGTATCTGGTCATTAAGGTGACGGTCAGCTCCAGGGCAACAGAAGGGCAAGGCTCAGGAGGGACACAAGGGGCTCGAAGACGCATTGGCCACACGGTACCTGAAAGGAACCCATGATTCAGCTGCTGCTGCAATCCAAGACCCTGGCCGTAGAGACCCCTCCCGCTGGGAGCTACACAATTACCAAGGAGTTCTGTGACAAAGTATGAAGGGATGTCTCTGACCACGTGGATATTTTGACATAGGGGCCACTGGGGCACTGACATAGAAACGTGGGCCATGGCAGCCCATCAGTGTTGGGTACCGTTGTATTTATGGTCGTGGCCAACTACATTTTCTCCAGCCTCCCAAAGCCTTCTCACCTTGGAGTGAGGTGTGAACACTCAACCATCAGCTCCTTCAGAGGAGGCCCAATGTTACCTGGCTGATTTGTGGCACAGCTGACCTGGAATCTGATCATGAGCACTCTTTTGGGGATCAGGTCTTTCATCAGATGGCTGTAAATTCTGAAACAGTGTTTTAAAGAATTCTGGCCAGAAATCAGAGAAATTTCTTTATTTAAGCTTGATTTAGTTAGCTGGTTATTTTGGTAGGGGAGTGAGTAAAAGATTCTCCAGGAGACAGGTATCAGTCAAATGGAAACAATATCAACAATAACACTACTATTTACTGAGCATCTAATGTGTGCTCAGTTGCGGAATAGCACGGTGGTGAAGAGCACTGAGCTCGATTCAGATAATTCAAATATCTGGATCTGAAATCTTGGCTTCACCACTTAACTAGCAGTGTGACTTTGGGCCTATTACTTGACCTGAGCTTCCGTCTCATTTCCAGGCTGGAGAGCAGTGCCCACTGATAGTGTTGCTGTGAAGACCGGAGTAATGAGAATGGTCCTGCAGAGTGGTAAGCGCTATCAAATCCTCACTGACCCACATGTAAAACCCGGAGCCATGTTCCACAGTCAACGTTAATGAAAGACTAGAGTGATCCAAGAAGGACACACCTCCTTCAGGAATAAGGATTTGGGTCACCTCATCAGAAAAGGTCCAGGCGTCCACACCTTCCCTATGGCCCATGAGCTTGAGGGGCAGCTGGCTCTTAGGTTGGAGCAAGTGGTTCAGGCCTAAGCTTATCTTACTGGCTCAGGGATGAGCAAGTGACCCACTTAGGGCCCATGAAACCAGATGGAGGCCTTTCCTAAGAGGGAGTTGGAAAGGAACGCTCTCTGTTTTCCCAAATGCGAACAGGGAAGCATATAGCCCTTGAAGTTGTTGCCAGGGTCTCAGAGCTATGAGGGGGAGCCAGCCTTAGGATAACACCAATACCACAAAAAGCAGAGAGAAGAGTTGGACAGAAACGGTCCTGAGCGATCCTGTTAACCTGCTGGATCGAACCAACCCTGAAGCCCACCACACCTCTAACTTTTCAGTTCTTTGAGCTAATGTATTGTTTGTTGTTCAAGGCACTCTGCGGTGGGTTACCTGTTACTCCAACATTCCTGTTACAATAGGGAAGGCTCTGCAAGGGACAGTCACAGGCTTCACCCGCAAGTCGCTCTTGCCACACACCCTCTTGGAGAACAAAGGGAGACGTAAAAATCCTAGGTCCAGGAAAATGTTGACGTGACACTTGTGAGCTCTCAATGGAAAAAGTCAGGGGAAGAGGAGACTTGAGAGACAGAGGTAGCCAAACTTCCCTGCTTGTAACCCATGGGCTGCAAGTGCACAGCCGTGTGCATAGTTCCTCAGTCCACTGACTCTCCCGCGCCACGACGCAGACCGCAGCTGAAGCTCTTACCTGGGCAGGACCCAGATGGGTGTGTATGGAAAGAGGATTCTTCTCCTCTCTTGCTGAGTCTCAAAGGTATTTGGGTCCCCCCAGATACACGTCTAACACGTACACTCAAAATCAAATGTTTTTTGGGTATCTTCAAATTCAAGCAGTGGGGCAAAGCGACAAACGCCGCTCTGTTGAAAAGGATCACTTTATTCAACCACACATAATGTATATATACAAGTGAGCAAAATCAGGATGTTTTCCTCAGCCATCCTTTCCACATTTTGTGTAGTTTTAGTGAACTATAAATCACTGTTTTCTTCATGCCTAAAAGACAAAAAGAAGAGATGGTGAGAAAGTTGGGGCTGGTGACCAGATCCGCTGCGAGAGCTTCCAGGATATTCTCACCAGAGGCCTGCCTTTGGAGGGCAGCCGTGATGGGCTCATTGGTGGGGCTCAGGAGACCCTGGGAGCCGAAGATGATTAAAGATCACCACGGCCAAAACGAGGGGAAGAGGTTCTGATTTAGGCATTATGGCCACAGTGACGTGGATGCCATAGGTACCTGAGCTAACGGGATAAGTGAATCCTTCAAGTTACGAGTTTATCATCAGCCTTTGACTTCAGTGGCTCATTTAAAAATGAGAAAGGAAAACAGAGACAAAACTCTGTATGTAACTGGACATCCTCAGCCCCCTCCTGACTTGCAGCGCCCGCATCGCAGCCACCCCCCAGGTCCCGGCTGCTGCGTACACCACCCCCTGCCCAGAACGATATTGGTTCCATCACTTTCGGCCTGCTCGCTCCCCATCCCCTTTCAGAAGTGCCATCCTGGACACTGCTCCTCCCGGCCCCAGGGCACCCGTGCTGGCCACTGGCTCGTACAGCACCCACCAGGCGGTGCAGTGCTTGGCAGTTTCCTGAGCTGTCCCTCTGCCTAGGCTGGGAGCTCCTTATGGACAGGGAGCGTGTCTCCCTTGTCTCTGTATCCCCAGCATCTAGTACGGAGCCTGGCACACAGCAGGCCTTCGGTAAGCGCTTCTGAAGTGATAGGACGGATGCACCTCGTCCAGCTACCCAGCCGTCCGGCACCCCAGCTTCGTAATCACAAGTACCTGATGAAACCAGAGGAGAGGCTCTCTGGGGGCTAACGGGACAGCAGTCAAATGGGATAGGATAATGGGATGCTATTTGTCTGTCAGATCTAATAGGACCCAATTTGCAGATGGTATTATGGGCTCCACTTCCTTTGTGCTGAGGATGAGATCATTTAGTCTGTGTTTCAGGGTGTGGCCCAAAGATCCCAACAGCCTTTGGCACCACGAGTACAAACTGTGGTGTGTGTTCCAAGTCTGAAACGCACACCCCTGGCAGTGCACTTGAAGCCTGTGGATGAGGTGACAGGATTAACTCTGGGGACCCGGTATGGTCTCTTGAAAATACCTGGGCCTATTGCCCATAAGCTGCCTGGTCTGCTCAGAACCTTTGAAGAAGCTACTGCAGGCAGAGGCAGGTAAAAAGGGCAGCAAACCAGGAACATTGTTAGCGAATACTTCTAGAAACTCTGGCCCAGCGTGTCTACTGACTCCTTGCAAACTGACACAGCCTCATCAAGAAACGCAGAGCTCCTTTCCCTGCCTCCACCTCTTCTAATTTTCTCCCTGGAGCAACCACTTTGGTGAACCTCACCCAGTTGAGCATTGAGACTGGAAACTTATTACGTAAGGTGCTTTTTTAATATTCCAGCCAGAACCAATCGAGACACTAAGCAGAACACAGGTGGAGCTTACAATAAGGTTCGACACAGCAACCCCAGGGCATTGAGTCTCAGCTAGAGGAAGATGCATCGACCGTGATAAGTCCCAGTGCAACTTCACAAACCTTACCTACAGACTCCTTGGAGTGTAACATTTAAGGTAAATACTGAAAGTACTTGAGCGTCACCTTGTAGCCGTGTTTTGTTGCTACTGCGCAGAAACCTTTCTCTACTGAAAACAGTCTCGCCCTTTGATGGCTCTGACAAAGCGAGTCTCAGAATGACTTGCAGGGAATCGTGTCAGAAAGAGCACTAGAATAGGAGTCATGAGACCTAAAATCTAGTTGCAGCTGGACCACAAACCTACAGTCTGTGACTCACTCTCTGCGCCTTGACTTTCCCATCTGCAAAAAGACTGGCTGGACTAGTTCAGGGCTCTCTCACAACGGCAGTCTGTAGGGAAGCGAGGAGGTAACTGCAGGGAGGGTTGCTGTGTGTGTGCGCACGTGCGCACTAATGTGCAGACGGTGCAGTTTTTGTCGGATTTTCAGAGGGACCCAGGATTTGCAGAAGGTTAAGAACCAACACATGGGAACAAAGGATCCTTTCAGCCTTAATATTCTGACTGCAATGCAGGTGGAAGACTAAAAGTGCATGCGGTTGGAAGTGGGCGACATGTCCTAAACGGGGCACAAAAGCTGCTCCTATCAAGGGCAACAGTGTAAACTGGACTGAATAAAATTAGGAACATCTTTTCATCAAAAGGTACCATCAAGTAAAAGATCTGTAGACTGAAAACTATAGAAAACTTATGAAAGAAATTGGAAGAGACACAAAGAAATGGAAAAACATTCCATGCTCATGGATTGGAAGGACAAATATTGTTAACATGTCAATACTACTCAAAGCAATCTACACATTCAACGTAGTCCCTATCAAAACAACACCAGCATTCATCAGAGATGCTAGAACAATTAATTCTAAAATCTGTATGGAACCAGAAAAGTCCCTGAATAGCCAAAGTAATGTTAAAAAAGAAAACCAAAGCTGGAGGCACCACAAGTCCAGACTTAAAGCTGTATTACGAAGCTGTAATCATCAAGACAGTATGGTCCTGGCACAAAAAGACACACCTATGCGTGTCAATGGAACAGAAGAGAGAACCCAGAAATGGACCCATAAATGTGTGGCCAAGTCATCTTTGAAAAGCAGGCAAGAATATCCAATGGAAAAAAGACAAATGGTGTTGTCTTCAGCAAACGGTGTTGGGAAAACTGGACAGCGACATGCAGCAGAATGAACATGGACCACTTTCTTACACCATACATAAAAATAAACCCAAAGTGGATGAAAGACCTAAATGTAAGACAAGAAACAATCAAAATCCTAGAGGAGAAAACAGGCAACAAGCTCTTTGACTTTGGCCACAGCAGCTTCTAACTAGACATGACTCTGGCGGCAAGGGAAACACAAGCAAACGTGAACAAGTGGGACCTCATCAGAATAAAAAGCTTCTGCACAGCGAAGAGAACAATCGACAAACTAAAAGACAATTGACAGAATGGGAGAAGATATTTGCAAATGACATACTGGATAAAAGGTTAGTATCCAAAATCCATAAAGAACTTATCAGTCTCAATACCTCAAAAAAACAAATAATCTGGTGAAGAAATGGGCAAAAGACATGAACAGACACTTTTCCAAAGAAGTCATTCAGATGGCTAACAGACACATGAAACAGTGCTCAACATCACCCATCATCAGGGAAATACAAATCAAAACCACAATGAAATACCACCTCACACCTGTCAGAATGGCTAAAATTAACAGCTCAACAAACCGCAGATGTTGGTCAGGATGTGGAGAAAGGGGATACTTTTGCACTGCTGATGTGAATGCAAACTGGTGCAGCCACTCTGGAAAACAGAGGGTTGTCAAAAAAATTAAAAATAGAGTTACCCTGTGGTCCAGTAATTGCACTAGTAGGTATTTATCCAAAGGATACTTGAATGCCAATTCGAAGGGGTACATGTACCCCAATGTTTATAGCAACACTATTAATAATAGCCAAAGTATGGAAAGACCCCAAATATTCATCGACTGATGAATGGATAAAGAAGATGTGGTATATATATACAACAGAATATTACTCAGCAATCAAAAAGAATGAAATTACCATATGCAACACCGTGGATGGAACTAGAGTATATTAGGCTAAGCGACCTAAGTCGGAGAAAGATAAATATCATGTGATTTCACTCATGTGGAATTTAAGAAACAAAACAGAGGGGAAGGAAAAATAAGATAAAAAGAGTGAGAGAGGCAAACCATAAGAAACTCTTCAATACAGAGAACAAACTGAGGGTTGCTGGAGGTGTGTGGGGTGGGGGCTAAATGGGAGATGGGCATTAAGGAGGGCACTTGTTGGGATGAGCATTGGGTGTTATATGTAAGTGATGAATTATTAAATTCTAATTCTGAATTATTACACTATATGTTAACTAACTTGGATTTAAATTAAAAAATTTTAAAAAGACACCATCAAGAGAGTGAAGTGACAGCCACCCAACTGGGAGAATTTTGCGTTACACATATCAGACAAAAGACTTGTATCCAGACTTTATAGAGAATTCACTAAGAAAAGGTAGACAATTCAGGGACACCTGGGTGGCTCAGTTGGTTAAGCGTCTGACTTCAGCTCAAGTCATGATCTCGTGGCTCATGAGTTTGAGCCCTGCACCGGGTTCTGTGCTGACGGCTCAGAGCCTGGAGCCTGCTTCGGATTCTGTGTCTCCCTCTCTCTTTCTGCCCATCCCCTGCTTGTACTCTGTCTCTCTCTCTCCCAAAAATAAATAAACATTAAAAAAATTTTTTAAAGAAAAAGTAGACAATTCAGTAGAAAAATAAGCGAAAGACTAGAATAGGCACTTACAAAAGAGGATATCCAAATAAATATGAACTAACGCCCAACTTCATTAGTCATCAGAAAAATGGAAATTAAAGCTCCAATATGATACCTCTACTCACCTATCAGCATGCCTAAAATGAAAAAGACATAGAATATCAGGTAAGGAGGAGCTACTCCAGGGGCTCAGTTAGTGGGAGTGTAATTTGGACAACTGTGTGGCGGGATTACCACGGTGAACGGTGAACATTCATATACTTTATGACCTTGTAATTCCACCGCCGAGCGCGCACCTAAGAGAAATGCACACGTTCACCCACCACAAGACAGATACAGGAGCATTCACAGCAGCACCATCTGTAGTGGCCCCAAACTGGAACCAACCCAAGAAACCATTAACATAGAGTGGGTAAACTGGGGTATAATCATACAATGGACTCGTTGCAGTGAGAATCAATGAACTATTGCTGCTCTCGACGCCATGTTGACATAATGAGGAGTGAAAGACACAGGAGACCACATATTTACTTAAAGTTCAAAATGGGCACAACAGAAGCATGGCACTGGAGGTCAGACAGTAGGTAGTGCTGGAGGAATAGGGACTTTGACGGGCCCACTATCCGGGGGATGGTTCTGTTCTATGTCTTCATTCGGGTCTAGGTTCAT